GCGAACAAAATAAGCCCACTCCCAGGCTCCAAATAATTATCTGTTGATTTCCAACCCCATTCTTCTGGGTTCAGCTCATTGCCTAGCCACACTTGAACTTGATAATACAGACGATACAAATGCTGCAGACGCAGATTTTACAAACTTCAAATATCTATGTTTATCTATGCAATCATTGAGCATTTTTTCTAATGAACTAGGTGCATAAGTACTTCTTTTCCATAATATAATCAAGTGATCCAAAAAATGACATAAGTAAATGAAAACCTCCAAGTCTTACTATGATTTTTGATAATTCAGGTCCTTCAGGCGCTGCGGATACAATTTCTCGAGCTTTTGCGTTTAAAGGTTGATCAAAAGTAATCTTCAAAATCACACTTCTAAAGCAGTAAAAGGTATTGTAGTTACTCGCTGCTTGACGATTAATTACCGGTTAAATGTTCAATATAACCATTCCAACCAGGCAATAATAGATTTTTCCATTTTCCATATAACCATAATCCGTTTTTGGATAAATAATAATTTTGATGTGAAGCGTCCAAAGTATGTATGTACATTTATATCAGCATTATCTGCAACATACTGAATAAATGCAATAAAGATATTGTGGACACAGCAATTATCTTTAAACTTATCGATCACTTAATTATATCGTCAATTTCATACTTCATGGTAGTTTTCTGGGCTACTCTACTTCAAAAGGACAAGGCTAGTTCAACATCTTCAGAATGCCTCATACAACATTCGTAAATCACAGTTTTTCGTCTTAATTAAAAAAGTACCATCTCTCCAACGTAAGACAACAACTTCATTCAAACAAAAGCTTAAACAATACGTTTATCATAATAGAGACCGACCATAAAGCTAGTAGCTACCAAATTGTATATTTGTATGTGCTAATATGTTAATTTAATTTTTCTTATCTCTTTCTTTTTTGAATTCACAGTTACATATTTTCTAATATATCTCTTTCGAAATCGAATAAAGGCCCTTTATTATTATTATCATAAAACAGAAAAATTCTATAAGTATTATGTATTATGTATTATTTCTGGAATATTGCTCACCTGCAAATTACTAAGAAGGAAATAAAACACTGTCTATGCGAATGAGGTAAAAATTGTAATAACTTTATGAAAAACCAAGTTATTTAAGGGGGATGTTCTTTTTTTATTTATGCTATAGTCTGTTTCCTCCGAACGTAGAGTAATAAGATCTTCCGTAGGTATTGAGTACCACTTGACCTATTGTCAATCGTGATTAGTATTCGTAAGGATTGAAATCCCTCAAAAAGTAAAAAAAAGAATATGCTACAAAACCCGCGACCATAAATGTCGTTACAAAATCGATATCATGTGTGTGATAGGAAATTTAAATTGATTTAGAGTCAAACATTTTGTATTTAACATTAGACATTTTGGTTTTTGCAAAACTTTGTGGGTAATCTTAACTAATATTTTTTTATAGATAAAACACTGGTATCTGCTGTTAATCTATTGTGTTGATATAAGTAATAACGATATTAGTAAAGTGATGAGTGACCCTAGAGAACTGGTGAAGAGTTGTCCATCATGTCATAAAAAAAAAGGTAAAATGTGAAATCTTACGGATAATTTAGGATCGAAAGATGGATCAAGAGGACAAGGTAGCGTCACAGATGGGAGGAAGAATATAACTTTTATTCATCTGTGATAAATTTGAGTTGATTACGCATATTATTCCGTAAATTAAACATAATGTCGGGCCAAATTTTCACACCCAGTGGCAGGCTTTACTAAGGGTTATATCAAATAAGGGAAAATTCTGCTATTGTATATATTTAATTTAACAAAAAATTAATTTTCCATCCATCCATATCCATCTATTTATCCTTGTCTAACATAACCACAGAACCACAACATTTTTAACGATCAACTGGGGAACAATGTGAACTAGGAATACCTCGAAGTTTGTGAAATTACAATTTTAATATATATATAATTAATTCCTGAAAATACCACCATAAAAACCCTAAATATTTCCATGTTGTGACAGGTATAATTCAAATACTCGACATCGACGCAGCTTGCTAACATTGACTCAGAAGACGGTGGTGTTAACATTCTATGTCGGTAGAGAGAGATATAGCAAAATACGTAAGATATATATACATTTTTGAGTCGTCCGGTTGCCTTTTTGAGTGTATTTTTAATTTTTGTTAACGCACTACCAAATTCCTTGATGTATGTTGCTTATTTTATATAGGTTATATATACTTTGGATGACACCCAACAATTAACGTCTGATCTGGAAAGCATAGATAACTCGCTTGGAACAAATAGAATGTCACTAAATATATAAATATGTTCCTTATACCAGAAAGATAAATACGTTTTTGTTGTTGTTTTTTTTTATTAATTTCAATAATTACTGCAAAAAAGTCATTATGTTTTATCGTCGTCATCAACAGTAATTCATGGCGATAACCATCAGCGATACCGATACCAAGCTATGCATATTAACATACAGTCTGGATTCCTGTTATTTATGTTTTTTATTCCCTACAGCACCAAATTAAATTCAATTCAGTTACCTGCAGGTTATGGTAAACTATAAAAGCATGTGATCTCTTAACAATATGCTTCATATATATAACATCATTATTTATACAAAGAATATCAACATTTTTAATGTAGTTAAGTTTAATACTCTCCTTATTTTCTTTAATATCAGTTTTATTTTTTTTGTTATTAAATTATATTGTATTTGTCTTTTGTTACTATTTATCTCTCTGAATTTACAGGTAATTACCACATATTTTGTTACTCTACACCGTTTATCATATTTTTTGCTAGAAACGTTGTAAACAAGGACCCGATCACTCTATAAACGTAATCGCCTGTACTCAATTTACTTCAGAATGATAATGACGCTTTTACTGGGCGTCTGAGATATTTGGGTCGATAAATTTGCGGCAGGTAATTTCTTGGTCGCTATTGTTTCGATGGTATTATCAGAATTCCGATCGGCCGCTACGTGACGCAAGCACAGCTATACTTATACATTTTTCTATAAGCAATATGTAATCATGGGAAGCTTTCCGGGTCTCGGCTTCTAGTCCGGTAACAGCGCATAAATTATCTTGCGGATCGCGCCGCCTTATATACGAGCGCCCGTATATTGGCTTATCGGCAAATAATTCAACAAATTTTCGGTGTCGGTTTGGCAATCTCCGACAACAAAACAAATTTTCCTTCTTCTGGGAACCCGGCGTCTTTTGTTTTACGATTTCAATGGGCCACTTAAATGGAATGTTATGAGCAAACTGTCATAACCCACTTGCGTTATCAGATGCCGGGATCTCCTCGGGCGCATACGATGCAGCCGGTGTCCCGCAAGGATAAGTTCGCGGCCCCTTACTTAGCGAATTCGCGTCGATCTAGGCCTGTTTGTCATTTTTGAACGCCTAGCATCTTACCTAATATATTGCCTCTCTTTATTTCCTTACAACGGAGTAAAAGGAAAATGAAAGGATTTGCTAACCATTCAATCGTTCAATATAGAAAATTATCGTCAAGGTGTTTTTGAGGAATATTGTGCTGAAATCATAAAACATCTTCCTTCACCAGCGACAACTAGAAATTATCGACTGGTTAACCGCCAGAAATGTTGAATTTGGAGATAATTTGATAAAGAAGGAAGTATTAGTATAGCAAAGTTACTTAAACATCTTTGATGAATTGCGAAGTGGAAGATATGGCAGAAAAACGTAATGTAAATGTGCTGCTTGTGCTACTAATAACTACTACCAACGTTAGGGCGAATGTCGTGTCAAAGAAGAACAGATAACGATAAGAATATTATGATTTTTATAATTTAATTTGCGTATAATGTACGAGGTGTGTTCAGAAAGTAACGTGACTTTTGTAATTGGATGGGCCACGGGCATTTTTACGATATTGTTGTGCCTGACGATTAACAACATTCTTCTTCGTGTATTTTCGTCTTGTCTTCTACGATTTATAAACAACACTCTTTTTAAAGACTATAGATTATATTCGTGGTTTGATAGCACAACAAAACGGACATGAAATCTTGAGATTACCCCGTATCATTGTATATTTCACCCGATTGAGATGATTTGGTCTGGGTTTCAAAGTTCGTCACGAATAAATTTCGTGAAAATTCTGTAAATTTTGTTTAATCATGGAGTTCATGATTTCTCCAAAAATTCTCGAATTAAACGGTAATTTTAGTATAATACGAGCAAAAATATAGTGCATTTATTGCTTTGACGTTATATATGAATATGATGTAAAATGAATATTTGTAAAAGTGTTATATTTTATTATAATTATATTTAATATTTAATATTGAAATGTTGAAAATGGCATTTGGTGAATCTACCCTGAGCGACGGCAATAACTGATGAAACTGTTGAAGAAATGAAACAAACGGTGTTTCAAAAAATCGCCGAATCGTTATTACAGGTGGCTGAAGACGTCAGCATCTCTATTGCAGCACAATTGGTTCCGATACTGGTTAATTTTGAACAAAAGGACCGTACAAGGAGCATCGCTCAAGAGCTGTTAATTGACCTCAATGATGATCCTGATGTACCAAAATACATCTGGCGAAGAATGGTTATGACGTGGAAACCATAGTCCAGTCGTCCCCGTTTGCGAGAAGCTGCGAAGAGCTGAGAAGTTGATAAAACTTTACAGTCGCCTTACTTTTTGACCACACCTCGTATGTTTAATAAAAAATAGGGGTACTTAATAATAGTGACTTTAGATAATAATGTCCGGTTTGCATATAGCGATGATCCCGAAACAACATGCCGAAATGTGGTACCCGTTCTCGACCTCAGGCAATAGGAACGCGTTTGGTGCGTTTTCCCATTGTTTACCAACAAAACGCGACTGACATTACGATTGCGGGCGACCTTGCTATTTTAATTAATCAAAAGAGGATTTCCTAATTTTGCCGTACTCTCTAATTCCTTTTTCTTTCTGTTGCAGAACTTCGCCGACCATGGAGCGCTACCACATATTCAAGCTGGGTAAGTTAAGGAGAAACGTTAAAAGTTTTTTGGTTTTGTTTATATTTTATGGTTGGAATTGCTCAGCTTGAAATTGGTATAATTGAAGTTGAATCAAGGAAAACAAACGTTAGTGGAATATCTTAGGCTTTGAGTCAGCAAATGCAGATAAGTCTCCAGATAAATCCTATTTTGGTTGAATATGAAGAACAGATATCCATTTCACAAGGTTGAAATGACTAAAAATTTCCATTATCTCAATAACAAACTTGTTTAAGCACTTTGACACCTCCCTTTCTCTACATTAATTTTTTTTTCCTACAACAACCACTGTTTCCGAAATGAATTTGGTCTGCATCACTATTCAGAATTCTTGATTATGTAGCATAGTAAATTGTTATCATTGTCTCATTGAAAAATTTTCATCAGCAATTTTGTCTTAAGTATTGTGGTGAAGTTTGCATTTTCATTGAAATTCATTTATTTATTTTTTTAGTTGTGTATTACTTCAATAAAAGTGTATTTAGTTAACTACGAGCTAAAGAAGTTAATATACGTTTATTTTAAATAAATTAAAGCTCAAATTAAACATATCTATATCTATGCCGTTTCGAAAAACACAATTATTAATACATAAATCGCTCAAGCGACAACCTGATATGAATCAGAATTAAAGCTCAAGTAATTTATACAATAAGAAGAATCCACGAGGTTATTTACAGCTTTGTAAAGAAAAGCAACATCAAAATAGTTCTTCGAGTTTCAATTTATTATATTATTTATTTTTTATATTATATCTACCAGATATATGCCAAATGAAATTGAAGCAACAGCAAAATACCAAAAATTTCTACTAATAATTTTTAGTTGCTTCCGTATTACGTATAAAACAGAAAATATATACCTATTACTATACTCTTAAACACAGAAAAACACATTTTTTACGACAATTTTGATATTTTACATACAGCCACAAAGAGTAGAAAATTAAATTTATTGGAAACCATGGAGTTTTACAAAATGAGACATCCAGACGTTAAACAATACAAACTTTCAATTAGATTTAAATACCTCTCCTTTATTGAACCCAAATTCTCACAACAAGTTTTTAAGTATTACATTTGATAAAGACACGGTGTTGTCGAAACAATATTTTGAATCAGAATATACAGTATAATGGAGTTTTGTTGTGTAAACCAAAATACGTTCTTAATTCGGCCGAGAGTATTTTTTCATGCATGAACTGAAGCCATGGGCGCTCGTTAATGGTGGAAACGAAGATGGTATCGTCTGACGAGCTAATTCCAGCCGTTCCGCGCAACCTTGCGCAAATCTCCCTAAAATATTTCGGCCCCGAAACAATCGAAAGCTTTCGGCATCTTCGAACAGAACTATTCTGGTGTACTTCCTGTAATTATGATGAGCGATACCCCAGGAAACCGTTGCCCAAGTTCCCCTCCGCAGAAAAGAGCCGACGGTATACGCGGAGGATGTTTTTTTATGTTTTATTTTAAACCCTTCAAAGATTTGCCCACTTATGTCATAAAGTGGTTTTTATTTAGTTTGTGCCTGACGTATGTTTTTTATATCTTTAAGCTCATCGTTGGTTCTCAAAAATCTAAATTTTTGGAAATTCCGGTTCCGATCGAAGCTAAAAACTACATCAATGCCAATATCTAATATTTTTTTGCTTCATGAATGCTGAATAAATGATGTAGAATATTAACCACTTCCTTACTTCCCAAATATTGTTTAATTTGATTATTCTAGTCTAAATGTAAATACCGCTTGGTGAAACCAATATCACATCAGCAATAATAATATTAATGCTCATTGCTCATTTCATGTTGAAAATTGTTGACATTAAAGTTTCTAAAACAACGATCCCTTAGAATCATGGGTTCAATAGGCTTTTTAAAGTAATCCAGGATGCAATAAATTAATTTATGTTCAGAAATGTCATATGTCAAATCATTGTCAACCGTCGCATCTAATAATAAAATTTTTGAAATTTTAAGTAATTTTGAAACCCTTCATTTTTTGTTGTTACACTATTAAACTTATCAAGAATAATTTTAACTATGGAACTTTTTCCAACCAATGTTCGCGCTCTTCTACTATCGAATGTGACTCTAGCAAAGACATCGCAAGAAATTGCTCATTAATAAAAAAACTATTAGTTGCTGTAATTCTTGTGGGTTCGTTTATAACTAAATAAATAATAATAATAATAGTTTTTTTTCCGTGGGGAGATTACAATGTATTGTATAAAAGAAATAATCAAAAACAAGGAACCAATAGACGATTACGCACAAGAGGTACACCTCGTTAGTGGGCTAGTTCTTACAAATTTATTATCACAAATAATAAATAACAAATGGTATAATGCTTTGTTTTATATTCTTCTCATTTTCCAAAGCGCTTAGATCTCCCGCCAGATATTCCGGGCCCATTTACATTCGATTCTTTTGTCTGTCTCCGGCCAAATTTCCACTTAGTTTTGACACCACGCGTAGATTGTGTTTAAACGGCTTTCACCAACATGGCGGCGATAACATCGCCGATGACATTCGATTATTAGACAATTTCTCGCGCCGAGACGCCCCAAAAACCAGCCATCAAATACAGTTTAGCGAACCGTGACGTCGGAGAATACAAAGCGTTCCATTGTTCCTTTTTCTGGTTTGATTTATTTTCGGGCACCCCCGGGGGGGCACGCGGACATAATTTGACGGGGTTACGCGCGCAATCCGCTGACGTAATCGTCGCCATGTTGGCCAAATACGGAGGAGAAATTTCGATTGTTTTTGGAAGATGCGTCCTGGCGGCCGGCGAAATTCTTTCGCGGTTTTTGCGGGGGCGACATGTTGCCAAACCTCCACGGCGTCTACTTTATTAGATTAGCATCTCTTGTTAGAAAACGACGGACAGCGGCGTCGATCGGTATTATTTCCAGCGGGGTGCGTACTTAGCATAATTTTTACAATTAGGAAGCGATTTTGCACTGATAAAAAAGATTCCTTGATATGATGAAATTTGCCATTATGGTCGCTATGCATTTGAAATGGGCGAACTCAATGAATTTTTTGCTCAAATACAAAAAAACTTGGGCACAAATAATTGATTCATTAACCTATGGTTTTGTCACAATATCCAGTGACTTTGAGAAAATTGCTTTGACTCAAGATCATTAAAAATTGGTTTAAGGTTAGAACATTGAAAAAGCAAGACATTCTATTATTCTCTTAAAATATAATCAAATAGTTGGGTCAAAATCTATGCGCTCTTGGGGCAATTTCCCTAAGAAATTTTCCTAAAATCATTGTGCGTTCTTTGAAATTTAGTTAAAAATTAAAATTTAAGGAAGAAAATTCGGAACCTTTATTCAAACAAATTTTGAAAAAAATTTAGTTACATATATTTAAAAATAACACAGGTTTATTACCCAACACAAAGTTGTAAAATAAATACAATGGCATTGCCCACTACAATATTGATAAGATAATTAAAGGAGCGTTTTGGGCAATATACACCTACCTACCAAAATACATTTCGAAAGTGTGTCGAGATAAATTTCGAAATAAATCTGTAAATATTTAGGAATACAAACTTAATTTATTTTAATGAAATATACAAAGAAGCATACGACAAATGATGAGACTAACGCATTTAGTATAATTTTTATTATATTAATACTTTATTTTCCTTACTTTATTTCCTTTTTCAAGTAGATGAGTATTAAAAGAGTCTATGAGCCTTTGTAAGATTTGTATACCAGATATACCAGTAAAAAATAAAAAATGTTCGCCTCAGTTGGCTTATTTAAGTTTTGTTTATTTTATTACATACCTCTAAGGCAAGGTAAGCAAGGTTGTGTCAGCTGTTCGATTTCAACAGTAAGTCAAAACTCAAATCGCTTGTCAGCATGGATCTCTAAGTTGAAAACTAAAAACAGGAAAGCAAAATAGTAAGCTTACATAAAATTATTACAAAAAGGTTAACAAAATGCAGCATGACAACAACCTCAAAGTGAATTCGTGCCGCTAGACTCGAATTGCAAAACCTTGGTAGTTTTTGAATTTAGGTGCTTCGGATTTTAAGGACAAATCCGTTAAAATAAAAAAGAAATATCTGTTTACTAGTTTACTCTCAGTACTACTAGTACTCTAGTAAAGAAAAGCTTCATTTATGATTTTTCCCGTGATCAGTGATGGTCACAGCCTCTTAGCCGCAATTTTCCAAAAAGAAATGGAAATTTCACAAAACAAAAAAAAAATGAAAACGGTTCCATCCTACGTAAAATGATCTCCTGAATCCAAAAAAAAAAAATAGGCTGTGCGATTTAAAATTTGGGAGTTACTGTCGTTTCCGCTCAAGCCGGAAGTGCAACCATTGACTACGTATTGTCAAATAATTGAGCATTCAGCCTAATTAAAATTTCTTAAATTAAAAGTACTGGGCTATTCATTCTATTTTGACACCAAGCTACAGGGTTAATTTTCAAAGATAGAACAAAAAGTATAATGTAAAAATGAGATTGCTGTCATTTTGACATCTTGCAATCATCGTTTGTTTATAAGATAATAAAGCGAAAATCGTCAAAATTTTGTATTTACACTTTTTTCAAATTGAACCCTGTGGGTGGGTGTCACAATATAATGAACGACGCTGTACACCAGAGATCAATCAGACTTCGACAAATAACAACATCAGAGTCTATCAAAGTAAAACGCTCCTTAAACTAGAAATGCTCCCGAAACACCAAAAAAATTCGATCTATAGCGCAACATACGTGACATTTATCATCCCTAGATCAAAACGCAACCGTTTCCCAAGATATTACATTCAATAGTTCCCTACGTACAAACGTACACGTAAAAATGACTTTACCCGCCGCTGGCGAGTGAAATGGTACTAATTACGATTGCTCAACCCCCGGATTAATACTAATTTTCTAATTTCGACGATTATTAATTAACCGCAACGTCGTCGCGGTACCGATAGGCACTGATTGCGCAACGCCTACGCAAAGGATCATGTCGGAACAGAGTCAAGGTACTGCTTCGATTAACCGCCAATTAAGCGATGCTAAAAGGCGGTCATTGCGAATCGCATTGTTTTAGGAAATTTACTGTCTGACCGGTAATGGTGTTCTTTTTGTTTTCAGGTCTGGCCGTCACCTTCTACGCCGCGTACTGTGTTAGACCCATGGTGAGTCCGTACCCGCCGCCGTCTCCTTCGATTGACCAATTTTTTTGTTTCTAGTTGGTACACAGCTTGGACTCGGACAATGGCATCGATCAACACAAATCTAAGTCGCACCTCGGCAGCGACTACTGGGTGTACTACCAAGGCGTGGACGGCAGGCCTGGACTCGACTACCCGGTATACTCCTACATCCCGAGGACCGTCTTCAGTTGTCGCGGCATCGAGTCCGGGTACTACGCAGACCTGGACACCGACTGTCAAGTAACTTCCACCTCTACCTCTGGTTTAAAGCGAATTTTCAACCCATTTCGCTTTCAGGTGTTCCACATCTGCGCAGACGGCAAGAAGATCTCCTTCCTCTGTCCCAACGGTACCATCTTCCAGCAATCGGAGTTGATCTGCGAATGGTGGAACAAAGTAAACTGCAGCGATTCACCGAATTTGTACAACGAGAGCGTCGAACGTCTTCACAACGATATAGCCAGAAGAAAATCCTCCAGGCGCGTATCTTTGGACGGTGGAGAAACGAATCATGGCGCCGTTATGCGAACCGAGGAAAAGGCGTCGGTAAGGGCGGTCAAGAACGGTAAGGAGTATCCCGTGGAAGTTACCAATAAGCACCTGGGGAACTCCAACACTCCGGCTAGGTATCCTAACCATAACTACGATGTTGGTGGCAGTCAGGTTAAAAAAGATATAGGAAAAGATACGGGCAATTACATCAATGGAAACCATCGCGAAAGGAATTCCAAAAAGGTGGACGGCAGTCAAAAAACGAGATTTGATGTCTCGTCTACTCCACCTTCGATTTCGAGGTCGACTAGCTACTACCAAGAGCCGTCAACTTTCAAAACTAACCGAGATTCGAAGAACAATCAACTAACCGAAAGTACCAAGTCTGAAGCGCGCACATCCGCTACCCCGAAGAAAGCTGCCCACCTGAACCCTTATCCCAGTGCAATATCTAGCATACCAGTGTTCGTGGGTCCATCGCAACCTCCGATCAAGTTTTATCAAACCACTATCACTAGCAAAATATTAGACAGTCGCCAAACGACGTCGCTTCCAAGTAGTGCCTCTCTGTCACAAAAACCCTACCGCGGCAGTGTCAAATTCCAATCCAACCCAAATGACGAAGAAGCGAGCTTCAAAACGAACATCAACAGCAACTACGTTACGGCTTCTACGCTGCTTCCTCCTAAGGTTGACTCCAATCTCAACACTGAGCAACCTTCCGGCTCTTACGATCTGGAATTCCCGAAGCACAAGTCGGAGTCGATAAGCAGTACGAAAAGTGACGCCGAAGAAACACAAGTACCTCAAGAGTCTTCGTCGTTTGTTAAAAACCCCTACAACAGTATCACTGATAATTCTAAAAAATACGTGGACGCCTATCCGAATCACAGAAGCACCTACTCGGATGTCAAACCCTTCAGCTACCAAACTCCCAAACAAACAATCTCATCGATCACACCTCATTTGGTCACCACCCAACCTATTAACAGTGGCAAACCGTTCATCGGCAGCAGGATCGGATCCACACTTACCACCAAAGCGCATACGTACCTGCCTACGAGTACCGCGAGGACTCCGAAGAGCCACGAAATCATTTTGGGAGTTCTTAGACACTCGACGACCGAATTGCCGCCGTACGGACCTCCGGAATTGTTCAACGTTGGCAATACGGACAAGACTTTGCCCCCAGTCGAAACCACGACTTCTGTTACCAACTCTCTACCAACCGAAACCTTCAATTTAGGAAACACCGATAGTACCGTCAAGACGGATGTGGTTCCGAGTTACGGTACCACCACACTGAAACCATTAGATATTTACGTGCCCGAAGAGGGTTCCTTCAACATAGGTGAAGGGGTTGTCAATTTGACGACAACGAAACTGCCAGTACCTGTATCTGAACCCCTCTTTGTGAAGAAATACGTGCCACTGCTTTACTCTGGCTCCGCGTCGTCGCCAGGCATTAATCATTCCGTAGTATACGGTACGTATGAACCGACTAGGGCTCCGGCTGGTGGAGACACTTACAATCGAGTGAGTACCACGATCAGGCCGACTGATGCGACTGCGGTGTATGGTTCCTACGTTTCCGCTGGAAAAGGCGGGGGAGTACCTGTGAGATTCGCCAAAGGCAGCGACAAGGTTTCGATTCAGCTCACCAAATCACTGGGACCATCATTTAGTACCAGCACCGCAGGGCCCGCGAACAACGATGACTATGTGCGCATAAGTGCCGGAATAGCGAGCAGTACTCTGGCTCCTGCTCCGAACGGCTTCTTTACCGCCAGAGGTTTGCCTAATTCCACCCCCGCTACGTTAACTGCCCCTATTTCGGAAACCCAGAAACCCAGGCCGTTCGAGGTTCAACAAAATGTCGAAACGAGGTACTACTCAAGTAGTACCGTGTCCCTAGCCCGTCCCACTTTTCCGCCATATCAAATATCAAGCGCGAGACCTTTCCAAAAGGTCACACCGACCGAACCTACCCCTTACACGACTACATTACCTACGTCTACAAAATCTTTTATCTACGACAATGTTGATAACATGATCAATGTGCTTAAAGAAATAGCTCGGGCTAATACCAAAGATTACACGCAGGACTCTTCGAGGCCGGGGCTGGTGATACCTCCTTCGGTGAGTCCACAAACTCTCCACTCTCTAGCGCAATACTTCGCTAACGAACTCGACCACGACGATGGCGTGAATCTGCAACCTGACACTAAAGACGAACTCACAACCCTTCTCACTCAAATGACTGTGCACGGTTACAATAGCTTGTTCAGCAAGCATAGTGAGACGACGAGTAATGGTACTGCAGTATCAAGTACTACGGAGACTCGAGGGGAAACAATCGTCGAGACTGAAGCGAGAAACAATGAAGAGAACCAAGTGGAAGAGGAAAACGATACTGAAAAGCCCGCCGTAGAGCTGAGGCAGCTAGCTAGGAATTTTTCGCTGGCGCTATCCTCATACCTTCACGACCCTGACAACTTTAGGAAAGGATTGGAGGAACTGCGTCCCACGGAACCACCTCCCCTGGAAGGAGAGGACAATACAGAGTCAGGCGGTGAAGAAATCCTCAATTTTTCTGACGCGGACATCACACCAAGCCCGCCTTCTCCGTCGCCCACCTGGGGCTATATATTAGCTCCCAAACTGGCTCCAGCTACAGAAGATGTTAAAAACTCTCTCAACCCGGATTTGAATACGGCCGACTCGCAATCCTTTGTTCCGAACTACAACAGCTTCAAGGTACAAGAGAAAACTGAGCTGCCTCCAAATCACTGGACTACCTCTCCCGGCGCCACCAAGTTGTGGCAGAAAATTGTGTCGGTAGACCCTTCCGTGGTGAACGAAAGACTCGTTACCACTCCGATCACCGCTAGCCAAGAAGAAGAAGAAGAGGATATAACCGAAGAGCCGGAGTTCTTCCAAGATGAGGCTTTGGCCAAATTACCGCCCCATTCGGAAATCCGCTACGAACTCAAAACGCTGCCTCAGTTTAATTTGAACTCTACTCAGGTGCATGGCATTTTGTTGAACTTCATGAACCACACGGAAGAATCGGCGAGACTTCAGAGGATCCTGAAGAAGCTGAACACAACCGAAGACGAGTTCCTTTCCAGGATGAAGGAGATCGAGTCGAATCCACTGACCAAGAGGTTGATTCTCCTCCTCATAAGCGAGTGCGGGTCGGACGTAACCCGGGAATTGGGGTCTAACGAGAGCCACAAGACTCTTGCGACTAGGAGTGGACACGCCGGTAACGAAGGCGACAGTGTCAGCCGAGGTTTGCTGAAACTGGTGGATCCCAAGCTGAAGGAAACTGACCAAGACGCTAGGGCGTTGCAGCTGCTCAACGCTTTGTATACTATAGCGTCGAGGTTTGGCAAGTGATAGCCGTTTGTAGTAAAATTATTAAAGATGCATTTGAGATAATGCTCATTATGTGTGGGAGTGTGCACGAGCAGAGAGCATTGAGGTTCTGCAAAAGAATATTTCAAACTAATTCTATCCGTGATTCATTCCTTGCCTTGTGCATTTTTTGAGGCATTTGTTGTTGTTTAATATATCATCCCGTAATTAGTTAATTTAAATAATTAAACAATAGAGCGAATATGGCTTCCTATATTTATGAAACGGTTTGAGTGTTGAGTTGCGTAAGCTCTGATGTAACACTCGAATATCCCAATAGTTATAGAATTATTTATTATTAAGGTATTAATAATAGATAATGTAAGAGAGAGCAAAAAATAAAAAAGATCAGCACTGCCTGGGGGATTTCTGGCAGCAAAATCTTCAGAATTTGCCATCACCTCGGCATCTGTTATATAAAGGTATATAAGAGATGGTAGAGATGAATTTAGCTCTAGATATATAAGAGAACAGGGACTTGTGGCATAGGCACCACATTAATAAGATCCCAGATACCATGCTGAAGATTTTGCTAGTCGAAACAAAGACGGGATGACCTTATATTGGTTATTGTGTTAGTCTGGAACTCTCTTTGCTTATCTATCAATGATAGTGTATATAAACTTTGTGTTAATTGTAAATAAATCTTTTTTAAGTATTGCGACTTGTTTTCTTATATTTTATTTTTACATATTTATACTTAAAATGCTTCTTGCTTTAAAAAATAATGCTGTTAAATGGAAAAAAATAAAACTCATTACCTTAACAAAATATATTTATGTACATAATTTGGCTATCCTTTTATATCTTATAAATTACGCGCGAGTTCCCGGTTTGGCAAATTGTGGAGGCACAGACTAGTTCGAAGAACACGCGATTTCACCTAAATTAAATCCCGTTTTATATAAATAGTCATTCTCACTCTATACAAAAAAAAGGAAATAAAAAAAATGTTATCTACAGCTCGGTGGTGGTCTCCACGGGAGAATGGTCCCCGTACGAATACCCCATGTGGGAGTAATCCTTTTTCTCCTTGAACGTAACGTTGTCGTTGGTTGGACTCGCGTTCAAGTCGTCTTCGTCGCAAGACCTACAGTTGAACAACGGCAAAAATATAAATCATGAATACAAAAAATAAAACAAAATAAAACAACCTGTTGTTGTAGAGATGATCTTTTCTTTTGAGATTATTCTCCCCCACGCTCGAGGCCCTAGCCGTAGTGGCTGACTCGCTGCTAGCCGGGCTGGATTTGTCTATAGACACCAACAGTTTTACCTATTTCCTATGTCCCCCAATAAAACTCACCGTAATTCTTCAAATTTGTATCCTTGCCGATGTAGCTAACGTTCTCCAAACTGAACGCGTGGTTCTTGTTGCTAAAGTCGATTTGAAGATCGTTATAATCCTCTTGGTCGTCTACCGGCACGCACATCTGCAGCACCTGGGTCTCGTACTCCTTAAGGTTCGGCTCCACGTAGACCGTGTCGTACCGCACGGGACTGGCGGGTACTACGTACTGCCGTTGAGTCTCGTCCTTGTGGGACTTGTACCTGGACCACGAGACGCATATGTAGACGATTCCACCGGATCCGAACACCACAATGACGCACGCGATGACTATTAGGGCGTAGGGGAAGACTTCGCCCCCGAAAGTCGCTACGGACGCGGTCTTCACTCTGTGAAATACTAGAGGTTCGTGGATATTGAACGCCGTGTTTTTCGTTTGAGCGGTTATGTCGAAGGTGATATTGTCCATTGCGGACTTCTCCAAGATCGTCCTCTTCACCAACGTGTGGTTCTTGGGCAAAATCGATCCAGTTTCGGGATCCACCACGTAAAACCAGACGTCAGTACCTTCGGGATCTACTTCCAAGGTACCGTTCGCGCTGACGTACTCTCTCGAAGTGAGCTTCTCGATGCCGGCTACCAATCCCGATTGGTCGCGTATGACTCTGACGATGTCTCCCAATTTCTTCTGCACCTCGTCGGGCTTAGCGTCACCCATGACCAGCACCAGGCGGTTCATTTGCGATATGAGGTTCACCACCAGAGGGGCTTCGATTTCGAAGAAGTCGCGCGTGGAGTTCGGGTTATCTCTGGCCACGGCCCGCAGGTTAAATGGCAGCGTCTTACGATCTAGTCCGTCGAATGACTTTCTAGTTTTGACAATACCCGTCGACTGGTCCACCGAGAAGTACTCCTCGCTTCGGTTCCCCGATAACGAATACGCGATCTTGCCGTACTTTCCACTGTCCTTGTCTTCCGCTTTGATCTGAGCGACGGTACCGGCGATGGGAACGTCCGCCGGTACCGCCGCGTAGTACTTATTAATGTCGGCGTTAGGGTAAATGAAGAACGGCTCGTTGTCGTTGACGTCCATCACGTTGACGACCACCTGGGTGACGGCGAACTCTTTGTTGATAAAACCTTGCAGCGACATAATTTCCACGTCGAATACGTACGACTCCTGGGTCTCAAAATCGAGCGTGCCGTTCAGGTAGATAGCGCAGTTGCGTTCTTCTGTCACGTTCAACGCGAATTTACCTTCCTCGTTACCGGAAACGATCTGACACTTCAACGGGATGGTCGTACCGTGAGTCTGGCCGTTGACTATGGTTAGAGTTTTGATTTTTTGACCGACAGTAGCGTTTTCGGGTAACTGGAGTGCGTAGGAAGTGTCGGCGAATCTGAGCCCCACTTCTGGAGCCACCGTCGCCACGTGCTGGATGTAAACATCAACGGTTATCACGGATGACAGTTCCGGCTCGCCCAGGTCGTACGCCCTGACGTCAACCTACACCAAAATCGTATTTGTTAAAGGTCATCAGCAGGGGTAGAAAAATAACGTCGATACCTGGTACTCTATATCCACCTCCTTTTTCAAATCATTAGTGACGCGTACCACCCCGCTGTCGGGATCGATTTGGAAGTACTTGTCCGCTTTGCCTCTCCCTATGATCTCGTATCTGACCTTGTTTCCTGGCGCAGTACCATCGGAATCCGTCGCCAATAACGTCGTCACTTTCGTACCGATGGCCACATCATCCTCCAAACTAATCGGATGAGGTATCCTGGTGAACACCGGCGGAATGTCGTTCCTATCCTCAACCTCGATGACGACTTTGGTGGTACTGTTCCTGTCGTTCGACATATTCTCCAATGTGCCGATCACCAAAGTGTGCTGGACGTCTTTCTCGTAGTCCAATCCTCTGGTAGTGTATATGGAGCCCGTCTTCTCGTCAATGCGGAACAAATCCGTCGGGCCCTGGTGAATCACGTAGGTGATTTTCTTCACCGTGTCAGGATCGTGAGCTTCGACGGTGGTTACGAAGTGATCCGCCATGTTCTCCGGCACCAATGCCTCGTACAAATCAGTCTTGAACACCGGTACCTCGTCTTCCACATCCAAGACCTCCACTGCGACGGTTGCGGTTGCTATCCTAGAGTCCGGGGCGCCATCCTTCGCGGTGACGACGAATTGGTACTCCTGGAACAATACTAATAAACTCGGTTCGAATTGCACCATCCACCGTACCTTCTGACTTTCGAAGTCCAGCGGCCTGTTGGTGCTGATTTCCCCAGTTTGGTTATCGATATCGAAAGGCAAACCGAAAGGTATGGAGTACGACACCAAAGCGTTTATACCTTCGTCGGCGTCTATGGCGCGCACCTGCCCCACAGATACCTTCTTCGAACCTTCCCTGACCTGGAACTTGTAGGGGTCACCCACGAATTCGGGGTTTTTATCATTGATATCAGTTATCTTGATATTGATCGTGGCGGTACTCGACAACTTGCCCGTATCTTCGGCGCGCACCACCAGCTGGTATCTATTCAATTCCTCCCTGTCCAACATGCGGACGACCGTCAGTATCCCCGATTTGGAGCCTATCGCGAACTGCCTAAGGTCATTCCCGGAAGCTATCGAGTAAGCAACGGGATCCCCTTCCGGATCTACAGCCTAGGAAAATCACCCCTCACATCACAAGGAAAAGCACACGGTACCAACTTACCACGAGTGTGGCGACGGTCGAGTTGATGGTAGCTCCTTCGCTGACTTCGATATCATAGATCGACTGCTCGAACACGGGCGCCTGAGTGTTCGGTCCAGGACTTATGGTGACCTCTACGATGGCCTGACTGTAGAGACCTCCCGAATCTGTCGCCTGCACCGTGAGACTGTACTGTTCACCGGCGTTGAGCTTACCCACAGTCTCAATTTCCCCGGTTACCGGGTTAATGGTGAACTTGTTGTTCCCGTTATTGGAAACGTGGTAGATGGAGTACCGGATGATCGCGTTTTTCTCTTCGTCATTGTCCGTCGCTCGAATGGTAGTCACCTTGCGTTTAACGTCGCCTAAAACTCACACGGTTACTTCTTGTCCGAGGAAGTTATTGAAGACTACCCGCTGGAACTGAAACGGGCGCCATAATGGGCAGCATCGGGGCGTTATCATTAACATCCCTTAGGTTGACAGTTACGGAAGTGGGGGCGCTAGCGGCGACACCGTTTTTCTCTCTCGCCACCACCTGGAATTTGAACTTGCCAGGGTTGGGAGGATCCCGATCCAGGTTGTTCTCGGCCACCACCAAGTGCCCGTTCTTATCGATAGCGAAATAGGGCGTGGTCAATTCGAAAGTATAAGCCGGTTTGGGATCGTCAGGCCCCTGAAAATTTATAAACGTAAGGCCGTCCTCGCTCTACGTCCTATAGCAATCTTACAAAGTCCTTGTCGTCCACTGTAATCGTTAACGGTATGTTTCTGGAGTCAACCACCTTTTCTCCGATGGGAGAGTTCTCATCGACGAACCCTTCTGTTGATGAAAGTACTATTTCCGGGGGATTGGCGTCCACCGGCTTCACGGTGACAAACAGTTTGGCCGTGGTAGATCGTTTCGCTTCGGACACCTCTTGGGCCTGGAAAAAACGCCATGAGGCGTAAAGCTTATTTCAAAACGTCACGCAGCGCTTACCTTGATGATGATTTCGAACTGCTTCGTCGTGGTGGTATCGACCGCTTTGATTTGGTGCACGGCGCCAGTATCCGGGTTGATTTTAAAGTATTCGGAATATGAACTAGGCGTACCGCTGACGAAGGAGTACCTGATGGGCGAGTTGATGGTGTCCATGTCGACCGCTTGGATTTTTTCGGGCGATATGTTGAGGATACCATGCTGGACACCGCTGGATACCTAAGAAAAGAACAGCGGTGTCACAGAATTACAACTGTTTTAAAGAATGTATTCCGATGAAAGTCGGTGTGGTGGTACATGAAGGAGGAGAACTAAACTTGGGAGACACCATCGCCATTGAGCCGAAGAAAATGGTTTTGCTATCAATGTATTTTCTTTATAGAAAATTTCGAGAATCGAGAAGGTCGACAGTGTTGCCGTAGAAAAACTCCGGTCAAGAGACACCATCTTAGCTTGATGTGGGGCAGCAAAAGACTTAATGAACGGACAACCTCTTCATAGTGGGTATTCCTTTGCACAAATTTTGTTTATATAGAGGATCTTACATTAGTCTTGGTCTTAATTAGTGAGTTTTGAATGCTTTTAGCTGTTGCTTTAAAAACTGTTTTTCGATAGTAAAAGTCATCGATCGATTTATTATTAGATTCCGAAACGATTTCTCATTTCGTCTGACGCACGTTCTTCGACAGGTGGCGACCGGCTTAGAATATTACCTTCAGGGCACCCACGGAGATCCCATTGTGTTCTTTCCGCGAAGATTATCTAGATCGCGATCCAGGGACGTGCCCGATATATTCGCGACCGCACCCGATCTACTTACGGTACCGTCGTCGTTGCTCGGTACGTCCCTGGTACAAACCATAAACAAGCGGGTCGAATACATAGGCCGTAGGTAGTTACGGATCCGATGATAACGTTTTATTATATCGAAAGAGGCGGAGGTTGCCGATTTTTTCCCCCGAAGGATTTATGTACGGGGAAAAGGGTATTTTTTTCTTCTACACGGCACTGGTTCCCACGCCACGGTACTCACCGACGCCGAATACTCGGGGTTGATGCACGACCCGTCCAGCAACATGCAACCCTTGTAGATAAAGGAAGGAGGCAGGTCATCGTCATCTCTGACATTCACCACCAGGGTAGTCGTCGATGTCAGCCTTTGCGTCTCGTCTTTGGCTTTGTCCTAGAAACGAGCGAGGGAAATATTTAAAGGTCCGGGAGTAGGTCCTCGGGGCACACCGTGCAGACGAACGTGGCGCCGCGCGTTTCAGTAAGAAAAAAAGTCCAAGTAATGAGGCGGTTCGCGAGCTCATTATACGAGGCGTTTCATATTTGCGCCGCGCTGCTAAAAATAGAACGCGACGGCGCATCACATCAGGAGCGGGATGACCGCGTCGAGGCTTAACGCAAAATTAAACTCTCGTCTAAATCAGGACCGTTATGATTAAAATGCTCGTTTTCTACATGGCGTGGTAAAAACAATTACGGCGGTTAATTTGTGCATTGTGGTTACGCAATTACTTGGTCGCCTAATAAGAATAATTAAATTTAATGTTTTTAATACGGTTTTAATGGTTTTCGCGGGTTTCTAAAGCGAACGGAGTGGTGTATCCATCTTTGTTTATATCTGTTCCATTTCGAATAATAAACATACAGAACATATAAATAAATATTTTCGCATAAGCTAAAATTGTGTTCTATTAGCAATAACAATAAATAATAAAATTTGCAGATAAAATTCAATCTTTTCTTGCAGTTAAAAATTGTTTTCAATGTAATTTTTAATTGGCATGTAATAATTAAATGTTAGATTCAGTAACGATTATCGATTTAATACACAAAAGGTTCTTCAACTAAGAGAATACTGTATTTCAACAATATAAATGTTGGTTTTGGCCATTACTTTTGATGACGAGCAGTTTTTTCTGGATTTAAAACATTTTATTTAACAACAATTTTAAATTGCTGTTAAATTATATTTGTTGTTAAATTTATATTTTTTTTGACAATACTTTCCGTTTTTTTTTTGTGCAGATTAAGCAATTTCTCATTGAATAGATCGAAGATTTACCGACTGCTCATCGACATTATTCGGAAAGGTACGATGAATTTGCAATATTATTTGTTTAACTGCTGAACTATAGCAAATGAAATAGTTGATTAATTTAAAATATCATAATATTAAAGACAAGGCAGTACAAGTTTCTGTTTGAAACTAACAAATGAACAATATGAATCGACTTTTTCGAAGATATGAAGTGATAATCCCAGAACAGCACACAGAAAATTTCAACCAGATGCCGCTTTAAAAAAAATATACATTTTTAAAATCAGTAATTTTAATACAAATATCCAAAAAGACACTCGACATACTTGAGCCTTGTAATCTACGAAAGTTCCATGAAAAAAAGGATCTATAATAACCCCCAAAGCTTAAAAAAATCGAAGTGAAAATAAAGAAAAAAAATTATAATCAATATTTTGATACCAGTTCAGTTCTAGTATTTAGGAAAGAAATTATTTTTACTAAGGTTTGTTGATTTATTTATTAATCTAATATTCACAGAAATGGTTGATGTTGAGTAGTGGAGATCTTAAGCTAGGGTACGCCTTGTGAGCTATGTAGTATATCAGTTATTATTAGTATAAAGTAAACTTGGTGAAAATTGTTTACAATGAATTAAAATATATTAATTAAAGTTATTATCGCTATCATAGCATATAATATTTAGCATTTAAAGGCACATTGTGAAATGTTTCGGAATGTGGTCAATAATGTTCCTCTAAAAGACGAATCGCTATAAAATTAAAAATATTGTAGGAAATTTTGAAAGAATATTAAGACCGAAAATGTTTTTTTTTTCTTTCTGATTGATATTACAAAATCAAATCTTACCGTTGCCAATATCGTGACGTAGTACCTTTGGGTTTTCTCAAAATCCAGGGTGCGATTCACAGTGACCTGGCCCTGGTGTGGGTAGTTGATGGCGAAATAGCCGTAGCCGTCCTCGCTATGTATCCTCTGGCGTCCGATTCCTTCGTCGGGAGGAAGAGTCGACCCTAGACACCCACAGTTAATTTAAAAACTATTTTTTTAACTTTTTTTAATCGTACCTTGTATGATTTTATACTCGACTTGCCCGTTGATCCCCGTGTCCTTGTCTTTGGCGTTGATCGCTTGGAATATGGTCGTGCCTACCGGAGTCAGCTGCGCAAACCGTACCCTCAGCATATCGCAAATTAAATTTTAACATTTTTTTACCTCGGATATGGTGGTTTCGTAGGGCGTCCCTACGAATTTCGGCGCGTTGTCATTGACGTCCGTCAGTCTTACTATCACAGGTATGGTTTTGATCTTGTGCGACGATCTTACGGTGCAAATTAACTGAAATTTCGAACCCATAGAAAAGGTGCAAATTAATTTTCATCGCCAGTGGCCTGTGTTGTGTAAAGTATGTCTGTGAAAGTGGAGCGAAGTGAAGTGAAGGAAGGACTAGGAAAGAAATGGATATACAAGTGGCAAGATTGACAGAACAAAGCATAAAAACGTCGCATCGAACAAGAGCGTGAAGAACTGAAAGGCGGAAAAAAGTGTGGGCAAATGAGTGAAAAGAAGAAGAAAGCAGGAAAAGAAAAACAGCAAATTATTATTATTATTATTTATTATTATTACTATTATTATTAGTTTTGTTTATTTGTTAATAGAAATCAAAGAACTGTAGATTTGAAATATTTATATTTCACTTTTACTTACGAACGTAGTTATAGTGTTGTGATTTATAATTAGTATAATAAATAATATCCTGCATAACAAAGAGGTTAGGAGAAAGTGGAAAAAAATTAAAAACATCAATGACTGTAATATATTATCGCTATTACGAAAAGATTTTAAATCAAATAAAGAAAATCTAAAAATTATTTACTAAAAACTAAAAATAACTTAAAAAAAGAATATTTTACTGACAATAGGAATAATATAAACTCGTTACCCTCTAAAATAAACTACAATGGTGTGTATGTGATATCACAACTATCTTTTTACTACTTTAGAGCCGAGTAATGCTCAACCGTCCATTTCATCTAATTACTCGAACAAAAGTGTCTACGATTTTGAAAGATACCGCTTAATTTAGAACCAAAAATGGGACCAGGGCCTGATGTCCTGCCGAACGAATCAGACGTGGCAAAATGACGCTTCCCGCACGCTAGATCGGTGCGTAATTAGGTATTTTACAGACGGGAGCAGAAAAACAAAGTTATTCTGTCAAAAAACGTACTACTACGTCAGCGGCTGCTGGATTTTAAATAAAAAATGACGTATTATACGTCAGCGGCCGGTAAAGAGTTAAAATGAAAATTAATGAGAAGAGCATCGATCTTTCGCTATCAGGGTAGCTCAGGCCGATAAACCGGCCATTACCCGGCCGTTACGGGCAAAATCGCCACGCGTCCAACGAGCGTAAACATTAATTAGACGCCGATTTACTACTTTTACTATAACCCTAATTGTTCACGGCGACGCGCGTAATCTTTGCAACAAGTGTCGCTCATTTTGAACCGGATTCGATAGAACTATTTCGCACAGCCGGGGCGGTCCGACAATTCTTTACCTGGCCTGCTCGATTTATCGACCGATCGTTTTTTTAATCGCTTCGGTCATTGGGGGGAATTTATCAGTTGCAGTCCAGAGTTTTGTAAGAAACGGCGAGTTGATCGACACAGTTGTTAGAGGCAGAAAATCAGACGGAAAAGAAGAACAAACAAAATTCGCAAATGTGACAGACTTTATAAAAAAAATGATAGTAAGAAGAAATAACAACGAAAGTCACACAAAATAAACCATAAACGTAAGTACAGAAGAGCTAAATAACATAAGAGAGGAAATTCAACCATACAAATGGATAGAAAAACAGCTCAAAATCCGCGTAACTACATAAAAATAAAAAAGACAAACTACAAATAATAAGATCAAAAAGTGCAACAAAAACCCCAAAAAAATATATAAACTTATTTCAGAAAGCGTAGAGTGTGTATTTTATATACCTATCGTAAAGTCGTTACTATCTAATAAATACACAAAACAAGTAACTATTACATACAACAAATTTACGCACTCCCCATATTATTGTGAACTAAAAGAAATGTGGAATCTTGACATGTACAATCGGACTGTCGAGTCGACACTATAATGTTAAGAGAAGATGACAGTTCTTCAGATGACGAAGAATTATATGATTTTTTGTAAGGGTAATACTTGGGTGCATAATTCCATGTACATGTACATGTACTGCAAATACCCATAACTTGACCCAAGCCCAGGACGCGATAAATAGAAAGACTTTTGCAAAGAAATAAATACCAAGAAATGAAAGTGGCTTATGCATTCGTTGGGTCACTCGATAGTTCCCTTGCATATCAAATGAGGTTTCATTTTCTGAAATAGACTAAAACTTCATAACTGCATTTTTTTAAAACTAATATAGTCAAAGCTAACCAAAATTAACCTACAAAAATATAATAATAAATGTTTAAAAAAAAAACAAAAGAAAAGTGCAAAATTGTCACAAAAATGAAGCAAATTCTAATAGAAACTCAAAAATACATAAACAATTAGGCACATAATAAAATAATAATAATCATAATAATAAAGAATACGAAAAACATTATCGATTATGAAAATATCCTAGTTTGCTACAAATTAAAACCAATTCGCTATACCTAGACTCAATAAAAAAATCAGGAAAGTATTCACCCAATCCTCTTGGTTTAATTAAAAAGTAAGTAAAAAAAGTAAAATTATTAATGGCCAGAACATAGTTGACAATAAATTTAAAAAACAAACTGAAAGAAAATAAATCAAAAAACTACGCTGATACGGCCAATGTTATAAACAAATTGTGCTGAGCTTCACTAACTCTCTATAATGAACCAATCAAGAATTTTTGTGATTTAAGTATAGAACAGCAAATTAGATAAGTCTCATAGGGGAGAAAATACAGCCATTCAAAAATAAAAAAACAACATATTAAAAAAACATAACAAATTCAAAAGTTTAACCTAAAATATTCAGCAAATGGTGAAAAAAATAATAATAGCGAATGAAAGAAAATATTCTCGTTAAATAGAATTTTAGTTTTATTTTATTAGTGCAAAAACTTTAAAATGAACTTGGTTCGATAAATGCATCTATAATTATTTAATGAAAGATAAAGTCTGCAGTGGGTGGGGGCAAGAACTAGGTTGTTTCTTATACAACCACCCCAATGGAAAGAAAACCCTTAATGATATTAAAAAAAGAGAAATAATTAAATGAAAGGACATGGCAAAAAGTTTCAGAGAAACGATTACACTAAATTTATGAAAAGTTACCGATATAGAACGGTACAAAAAGTAATACATTTTTTTAAAAATTTGTTTTAAAAATCATAATTATTGGAGCTGATTTTACATCAGACGGGTTAATTAATTATGAACGCTCTTCGTTTAATTAAACTATTAAACTAAAGTAAAATCGGCATTGCGCGTGGCACAGTTCAGAACAAAATAAAAAAAAAACATAACTGCGATAACAGTTACATAAAAAATTCAAGCTGTCGGTGTTGTTCAATTGTTAGTTTTATTTTATTTTAAACGCTTGAACGATTTTTCTGATACGCCTATTATAATTTTACATTTTAAAATGCCTATTTTATGAATTTACTTATAAGAATTTAAAACATAACTAAGAAAAAAGGACATTCAAATAGTAATGCGAACGGACTTGACAACAAAAAATTCCATTAAAAAAATCGCGAGAGCAGAAAAAGGCTATAACGAAAATAAGGAAACGAAATAAAAAAATGTCACGCTGCGAAATCGAAAAAAAAACAAGTTAAATCAGAAAACAAAACGAATACACAAATGCAGCTTTCGATTTTCCTTAGTGTGCGCTTAACCTTATATAGACCGATTCACTTTTTAGTATCGACATTTTTGCCTGGCAGACCGAGACGCTTAATGTCAGAGCGTGACTTTTCTTTCTCTTCGACGTTCTACACGCTAATTGCTGCCTTACACTAAGAGCAAATAATTTTACGCACTTAAGTCCGACCTAACGGTAGAGATCGACGCGGGTATACCTGGAAAACGATGTGGGACAAGTTGTCCTCATCTCGGTCAATCGGGGCCAGAAGCTGCAACTTTTTGTCGTTCAGGAAAAACAGCGGCGGCCCCTTGGGGAAAGACAGCTCCAGGAACACGTCTATATTGGGCGTGCCGCCTATGGGTAGCTCGACCGGGGTTGTCGCTTGGCTGACGGCTATAGAAGCGAAGTAAGAGAAGATTATGTAAGAGAAATATTACAATAGAAGCCAAAGTAACAAGATTGCTTTCGAAAAATTTTCATTTAGCGAAAATAATTTACCCAGAAAAATCTTTTTGATTTTTTGGACATAAACAATCACACCCTGTACATGATTAAAAAAGTGTTCGAAGTAGAGGTTATAGCCCTGGATCTTCCACGTTTCCTGGTCCAAGAATTTTTTGGAAATAGTAAATGGGTTTCGCGAAAATAGGTGTTTTCTGACACCATGGATTTGTTCAAATATCCGGAGCAGCGTATATGATAGACGACAACCGCAAATACAAAAACTGTAGTCTCTTGATGAACCTATTAGCCATATTTTTAAAATTTACTCCGTAAAAGAACAATTTTCTGGGTCTTTTAGATTTTGCCTATAATTTAAAAACCGTCTGCTGGCTAAAGAATTTTGCCGATCGGGTGAACGATTATGGGGCAAGCTGAGATTACCAAAAAAAAAACTGAAAAAAATTTGATTGCAATTTCTGCCGTTTAAATGTGGAGACGGACTGCTAAATTTGTAGTTGATATCTGCAAATTTAGGACACTTAACATATTTCTCATTTAGCACGGAATTTCGGGAACACCCTGTACAATAGGTGAAAACCTTAAATACAAAAGTTTTTTTCTGTCTATACGGGCTATATCGCAATATAAAAGAAAGTGAGATCTGACTCACAGTCCTTCAGTTATAACCAATCTTTTTTTCAGTTTTTTTGAATTTGCGACACACCCTGTATATTTGTGAAAAATTATAAAATTAAAAAATTAAATTAAAAATTATAAAAATTTATATCTTCTGCGTCTTCTGGTTCAAGAATTTTTTTGATTTCGTAAACGGTTTTTGAAAAATGATGTTTTTTGTAGGTTCCGTCTCGGGGCAAAGCTGCCAAATATGAAGTTGATTGCTAGAAATTTCGGACACTTATCGTGTTTCATCGTGTCCGCCGAAGCTTGAACGCATCCGTTTTTTACAAGTCGTATGTGCACTGTGGACGATAAAAACGAGCAAAATTTTAAGCATTTAGCTCAAACCGTTCGGAAGTTATCGTCTAAAAACCCTGGAACAGAGAACGGAGAACGGACAGACAAACAAAAATTTTTTTTTCGACGCTAATCATTTCTGTACCAATGGCGGTCCTCTAGGACCCACCGTTACCCAGTTTAGTGAAGAGCGCGTATACTTTCGAAAAAAATCGATTTCGTAGATTTTCCGAAAGTAAGCACACAAAAAAATCAGTTAAAGTAACAATTATGAAATGAAATAAAATCCATGCAATTGTTAAAGTTTCTGCGCAGAAAAATTTAGTTGTTAGAAAATTAAATACAAATGGCAAAACGTTTTCATTACAACAACTGACGTAACAGCTGATTTTAAGTGGAGTCTAATCGAAATCAGTTCACCATCTTTATTTTTTTTTGTCAAAAAACCTCTTTGGAGGTACTATTCCGCTCAAAACGTGTTTTAGGTTAATGCAGATGTAGTTTTTGAGTACAATACGTGGCGGAAAAATCTGATTTTGCCTTAAATCCTATCGAAATCGCCTAAAAAATCTACTGTTCGTCCCAAAAAGTGAGGTCTTCAAACTTATGCCCTAAAATATTATTAAACGGTAATGGTAAAATATATATGGTAAATATAAAAATCAAATTAATCGATTTTACAGCAAGACAGCGTTTGAATTACTTCATAGAAATATAACCGACAAGATAATAAGCTTTACGGGCAAAAAAAGTAAAAATCCGTTTTCAAATTAAACAAAATATCTAATTAAGATCTTGTTTTCTGTAGTTAAGCGATTACCGATCATTAATCATCTCGGAAACGTTTGAAAGGCCAGAAGGAGGAAAAGGAGTTTATTTCCACGCCCAAATAATTTTCGCGTAATCTTTATAAATATTCATACAGTTTTACGTAAATGTGAAGCAATTCTTCGCGATTCGCCTATCGAAAGTTACCTGTACGCGTTGATTTTACAAGTCGATTACGCAGTCGAATCAAATCGAAACAAACATTGCCTACAAACAATAATAAACACACGCTTGTTTCGATGTAGGTACTGATGACCCAGTTTTCCGCCAAATAAAATGATGATACGACGTTTATCGGTACCAAGGCCCCGTTGGACGTAAAACGAAGAGAACTTATTGCGAATTACTTACAAGAACCCCGGCTTTCTTCTATGTCTAGAATGATGTTGGACGATCCATTTTCCACTTCGCAGAAGCCTGAAACACCAATAACCCTCGGTATAAAGTTTTATCTTGGGCCATCACTTATGGAAACAATGTTACTTTTTACTGGAGTAAAAAAGTATGTTAGCCGTTTTCTTCTTGAAGAATAAAATAATGGACTTAGAACCAGATAAAACCTGACATTAGTTAGCTTATTGTTAAAAAAAAATACTATTTGTAATTCACCCTACAATGAATCCGAAACCATTTGAAGACCATGATAAGTTGTGTACCTTTTTAAGTGTTGTTGAAATAAATTATAAGTTGGTGGCAGTTCCATCGCAGATCTGTTTGAAATTGTTGATACGTGAAGCCGCAGACTATTTAAGGATAAAATACGCATAGTGAAAATCCAATTTTCGTATTTGAGGTCGTGAAAAAAAATGGAATATAAAAAATCTGAAATTTGTATGGTCTTCAAGTCAAACAAAAATCTATTCCGATATGTTGAATAGATTCGGAGTTATTGAAGGGTGAATTATAATTCTTTTTTTTAATTTCCGTATTTTGGCCTTTTCTTTCAATATTACAAAACTCGGTACTACTAAAAAAAGTTGTAATTGCCTATTTCGTACGTACTGTAAGCTAACTAATGATGTTTCATATGGTTCTAAGCCGAAAAAGAAAACTGAACATTCGATTTTTTCTTCACTATTTCTAATTGATAATTTACACGCCAATTTCGAAGGAAGCGAGGTACTTCAGTTTAGCAATGCCGCAAGTACTCAATTTACTATAGACATTAAATGTTCAGCAATAACGATGTTTTTCAAAAATTACTACTATTCGTTCGTTGTGGTGTAAACATAACTAGTACAACTTAATCAGTAAATACGAAAATAATTAGTTTAAGTTTAGCAGTACCGCAAGTACTCTAAGTACTGCCGAAAGGTACAAATGAATTGATGCAAGTTGTGTTAAAATCTTAACAAACAAAAACCGATGGTACGACTTATTCAGTACCGTAATAAAATAATGAAGGTAATGCCATAAGGTACGAATCCTGTTTTGCAAGTTCGACTAGAATCATAAGAATCTAAATATCGTGTAAAAACGGGTACGATTTCGATCGGTGCCATATTAATTGGTCTGCAACTAGGTACCCTCATTCCCGACTAGCCGGTCGCACGGTCAATCCCACGCGCTGAAATCTTTCAATAAAGTCGAAGAAAAATCGACGGATTTACGGGAGGGGCAGCGGCGCGCGGATGTACTTAGTTTTATAGTACCACTTCGAAGCAACAAAACTCGACGAGCTGGTCGCGATGATCGTTTTTTCTTAGCGGATGAGCTCCGAGTACACTCCCCCCTTCGGCATTATTAATCTCCGCGGTACCACCCGTGACGACTCACCTTGGCAGTCAATCCAGGGCAGGAACAGCAATATCGGGAGAATTAGCTGGCCGCGGAAATCCATCCCATCGATCTGAAAGCAATGGGTTTAATTTTTAAACGACCCGTATGTTAGCAGTACCGTCGGAAAAAAATCCCACGCGGGATAACGGATACCAAAGAGTGGCATTTAAAGTGTTAGAACGCCGATCTCGTTTATGCGAACCAAACATGGGAGTATTAATCTACATAATATCGGATAGTACCGGAGAGCTGCGTCGAAGTTCCGACGGTGGAAACTGCCCACGTAGGTTCCCGTGCGTGTTAAGATATCGACCATGCCAGCGTAGAACATAAATAACGCCAAAGTAAACGTAGGTACTTTAACACCTGCGGTACCGCCGCGAGACACCCACGATCTCACTTCTTAACTTAATAGGGCTTTCGGACGGGACGCCGGGGAGAATAGGAATGAGCTACAGTACCGTCGGCCGTGCATAGCAGCGAAAGAAGCGTAAAAGTTTCGATATCGAAGTACGGTACGCTTTAAAGCGCTAACGCTCTTCGTAAAACGCTAATATAACACGAAACTGATGTCTTTTACTCGTAAATTTTGCACTCGGGCGGAGGTGGTACCCGAGTAAGACACGCCGTCTGCACGCGAGGTATTCGCTTTCGCGGGCTCGCGAATCTGACTGCTTAGTTGTAAAAGTACCGAAATGTTGTAGCAGACGAAAGATCTGAAAAGTACAGCGGCGTAGCCACAGCGAAAAATCCCACAATAAACACAAGCATGAAGCAGTACCGCTCTCCGTTTCCTCCGATTCACTCGCGAGAACGTTTACCGTTCTAACTTTTAACGTCCGCTGTCTGGTACTACCCAGAGCCTCGCCGGAAATTGAAAAAAAAAACGACGGGCGAGCGAAAGGAGATCAGTACCACACCCCGAGGGCGACCAAAACCGCGACCGAACTCGCGGTAGTTATGGCAACGATTCGACGTAACGGATCTCCTCGTGGTACCACCGGTTTCCTAACCGTACCCAACGTCGCCATCAGGTTACATATCTCGACGCAGGCGCCTATTCAGACTTTTTCCGGCCACATTGATATCAATAACGTCGTTGATGTAGTACCACCCTATACTACGGGGAAGTGTATATGTTTTTATTTTGAAAACTGATTTTGCATCATTTTGGTAAACTGATTTCTAAAATTTTTTGCACTTATTTGTATCACGTAAGGTTTTTTTTGCAAATATTAAAGGAAAAAAAGATTCAATAACAAAAGTGCAATCCTAGTTAAAAAAAAGTGACAAAAAAAACTTTGCTCAGACTTTTTTGAGTGAAATTTTCTCCGAACATTTGACTCTGTGTTTTAAGGACATTATCCCGTTTTAACATCCAGCAGTAGCCCGCCATCATCATCTTCCTTGGTATCGCCGTTCCATTTCCTTAATCTCCTGGTAAAACCTCAGACGATAAAAGTGTTATAAAATATTATGAACAATACTTTCGTTGTTTTGATCCTTAGAATCCCAAGAAACTTATCAATTACTTATTTTAATGAAACGAAATTAGTCATTGTGCCTTTGCAACAAAAATACCTTCTTCATCTTGGCATCGGATATGGCTGGAAATTTCTAGCACAAATATTTCACTCTCCATTTTTATCTAGGGCTTTAACAAACTGCTTCATCAAGCTGATATAAAAAGGACGCAGTTGGGGTCAACTACGCTATCTCTTGATACATTTTCGCTACCAGGTATAAGGCTTGTACTAGAAAGCCGTTCTATTTGAGTTCAATGTCTATCTCTTGCCCCCCTATCCCACTCACAAGTAAAGCATGGAAATTTTATATAACCCTCTGTTATCCTAGGATAATGCATGGAAGTTTATTTTCTTCAGAAGAAGTTCTAAATTTTCGTACGTTTCTTTACAATATTTGCAAAGGAAACCAAGGAGAGTTAATTACCATTGTGCAAACAAACGACTTTTAAACTACTCTTGCTTGAATCAATAAGCAAATATATACGACACCTTTCCTAATTTTAAAACTAAGTAAGGAATATTTTTGCAATACACTGGCGGTCCTTCCTGAGTAAAATATCGACCCGGTCCCGGTAAAAGCTTGCTTATAAGATGCTTATCGCGAAGTCTTGACGCTAACAATTCGGATGCATGCTTTGGAAGGTGCAAATCTTTAATTAAACCATTTAATTGGCTCTAGTTGAACACATCATCTAGATCGGAATTAGATTCCTCTAGTTCTTTTGGGACGGTAGGTATTGGTACATCTGGTCCATGAGGAACTGGTCGAATAATAGAGTCAAGATATTGATACCCATCTCGCCATACCATAGAAATACCAAAGCTTAGACACTTCTTCCTACCTTTTTGCCGGTTTCTTAATGCTTCAACGCAAATGGGAACAAACAGTATGTCTTGGTCACCAATTTTTACACCATAATAAGCATGGTATACATTTTTCACAACATCAAAATCACCGTAATTGTTTTTAATGTGAGGGGAAACGTTTTTTTATGTAATGGGTTGTATAGAATTCCGTAGTCGACTTTGGCGAAATTTACGAACCGACAAAAACGTAGGCAGGCACGAGGCAGACGCATTAGTATTCATCGCGGGTAGACGATCGTACCGTACCGAATGTCAAAAGGCCTGATCGGAATTCCCATCGTCGTTTATCTTTTTAAAGTGCGAATGTTTGTTTTTCAATTTCGATTTTTATCGAGCGTAATTTATGCTACCAAAGGCGATTGCAGCACATCGCAAGTCAGTGACTCGGGCTAAAAAGTACCACCACATCTGGAACGCCGCCCACATTCCTCCGGACCTACTATCGACCATTTATATATATCATAATTTATCGCGAGCAATAAATTGGCTTTGAATTGCGATTTCGATTGTTTAATGCTTAGAAGGGCGGTACCGCCCACCGAAACAGGTGGCCGTTGTCCTTGGAAGGCGGGAAAAAAGATTTATCTTCAGTTTATGACTTGCGACGGTAGGAGTTGCCGGCCACTGCGGTCGAACCGATTGAGAAGTACCATTTTAATATTAAATATTTAAAGACGAACGCAACCAGTACCAATAAAGCGATATCAGGCGTACCGTTAAGCGCTTAATAATAGGCATTTCTCTGGCATCCAGTCACAAAAACAGTACCGTGCAAAGTCGTAAAATTTAAAAGTAGTACCGTAGTCTTTGGAATATTCAATTTTGTCGTAACCGGAATCTTTTTTTTGTTCAATTACACGATTATTAGAAAATATTTTTGGAGCAAAAAGCTGTCCATTGACAATGGGATTTCCATTACGGTACCGTATGTTAATTTAGCCTCCGCGGGGTTTTTGTTAGACGGTGCAAAACGACAATTCGATCGAGATCACGATCACCCGTTAGAAAACGCATTGTGAAGGTTTGCTCGCTAACCATTCGTCTTTGACCGTTGGTTTTGCGGAATTTAGTAAAGTCGCAGCATATGGATACAAATAACTAAGGCGACTAACTATTTTTTGTTTACTCAAATGTTTAAAATACAGAAAGCAATTTTACAATATGACAATCGAATAAATAGGGCTTTCGATGCGGTGTCAGCGATGCGTTATCTTCGCTTAGCTTTGGGTTTCGTCTGCAGTTTGGGGCATATAACTCTACGGGTGCGTCCTCCACAATTAGCATTTGTGTTATCAGCCGAGAGCTCCACAATTTTTTTATTCAAATTGTTGTCTGTTATCAGTGATTAGACAAAATGTGTTATGTTTCCCTTTCGACTGAAAATATATTTAAAATATTAATTTGAATTCCCGTCTTAACATCGAATTACCGTACTAAAGTTGTATAAAGTTTTATTTCATTGTGATTCGATGCATCTGATAGATGATACAGAATCCAGATTTTCCAGTAGAATTTTCCTGCAGTATTCATTAAATACGTTGGTTACGATAGAATCACATTTTGTTAGCGCACAAGAACATTTTTCGTCACAAATTTCAGTGCAGTCATTGTCGCGATGGTTATGTGAAAAGCAAAAGTATATTTACTTCCTTTCAAATATATTGTCAGTTTGGATGTTGACGCTGCTATTCCATGAGACATTGTATATGTTTTAGTTTCAGTGTGTGCCAATTGCAAACAACTGCACAGAATGGGTATTTCTGGATCTCTTCTCTCATAGATCATTCTCAAGGAGTTTCTCAAGGACCTCTTTTATTCAAGTTTTGATGATGACATTTCTACTGGTTTTTTTATTCCTTTACTCAGGTGTCAAGCATTTCTTACGGCTTGGCCTTGCAGGCTGCTATGAATCGATCGGTGGAGCTTTGTTTGCTAAATTGGTATGGAGCTAAACAGTTTTCCAGAAGTCAAGGTCCAAATATTATCACATTCACATTCAAAAATGATTCAGGTGTTATCATCACTTGCCTTTGTCGTTTTGTTCCCCATATTGGATTTTTGACTACAATGAACGGATTTTTTTTTTTTAATTTCGTTTAGGGTAAAAGTGGGACACCAAGTTACGAAATTATTTAAGTATTTTTATTTATTTGCAGGGGCGTCTATCGCTACTAAAAAGGATAGAGGCCCCACTATTGACTGAGTATAGACGCCGTTAGAGGCATATATCCTCTATGACTTATTCACAGGTACTTAGGCTATACGTAAGATTTTTTTAAATAACCTATCTAGTTAATATGCAACTTAGTAGGAAAATTGACTTTCCAGTTTATTTATGAGCTGTTTATACCTTTACATGTCCGTACTTCACTGTACTTATAAAAAATAATGCAGCGTATCACCTAATTTCATTTTTTATTTTAGACAAAATGCCGCGAAAATATAAAAGGAAAATAAGGGCACCCGTTCGTGCTGCTTGGTCTGAAGAAGCCCTTTGCAAAGCTTTTGGGAAAACTCCAAGTAAATATCTTAACGAATGTTCACCTATCCCGAAAATTCCTGTTCCATTATACAAAAGAGGCAAGCAAGGTGCTGCCGTTTTAAATTCAGAAGAACATATTAACTCTAAGAAAGCTAAGTTGAAAGATAGAGCTAACAAGCAAACACCAGACAAACC